TGAAATTCTTTAATATGTAAAAATTGGTGCTTTGATAATTGTATAAATAAGTGTTATTTTTTGCAAAACATTACACTCCTGAGGATGACGCTATAGTCTACATCGAAACATGTAGTGTATGAGATTGTTTTATGGTTTAATCGGGGGTTTTTACCACTTTTTATTCTGTACAGTAAGTTATTGTATTTTAGTGATTTGGAGAAATGTTCAACATGTAAAGAATTATATATTTACCACTCACCCTTGGAAATTTTATTAAAATACTAAGCACATGTAAGAGTGAAATTTGTTTGTTTCAGTGGAAAGATGCCAACTCTGAAAACCTTATGGATTCCAAACTAAAATGTGTGTTTGATCCTCCTCCTGACAAGACTCCTCAGGTGGGTACAGTATACGATTTTTTACACCAATATTATCACAATGTTGTGTAATGAATTGGAAATTATCAACCTGTTATGATAACTGTCCTGTAAAAAGTGTAAGAGCTGTTTCAGTAAATGCTTCAGGCAGTGTATTTATATATGTGTAAATGGTCAATAGAGTTTTAGTAATTAAAGTTATATTCAAAGTATGATGTATATCAATTGTAAAAAACAAAATGAATTACTTAATACGGTGGTTCTCGAACTCTTTTGTTCACAGACCACCTTAATCTTTTTTTAAAATCTCACCAAACCATAATGGGATCTATAGACTATGTTGCCACTTCTTTTTTTGTACTGCTGACTTAACTTGTAAGCACCTGTATAATTGAAGGAACAATGTGTGTCAGTCAGTATGTGTATTTATGCATGCTAGATCACATGGAAACCCAATAATCTTATTGGCTAATTGTACAGTGGTACTTTTACATTTATACGAGCACAGAAGAATCAACATTTAACATGCATTGTTCTATATGAGCACTAAACTATGAAGTTTATAACATTAACTTTAAAGACAATTACTTCAGTAACGTAAACATGAGGGGAAAAAAATTAAGTGAATTCTTTACCTTTCTGTGGCTTATAAATAATCCAATACCATTACATCTCAATACAAATACCAACAGGTGCCTAAAAATCAATAATTAGGCCTAAAATTTAAATATACTTTGTATGTGGAGCATGAGTTTACCTGCTATATAACCTGTGGCAATTAGCCTTAATAGTCACTACCACAGTTTCATTCATTCTTGATGCTCTACAGCTAACACATTGTGCAAAAGAAAATAATTACAGGTTTCAGATGATAAACAAGTGTAATTTAGACACATATACAGACAAGAAATTTACAAAAAAACATATGACAGTTGATTTTTACACTTCATATCTAATTTTAAGACTTCACTGTTTTATAACTACGTGTTTCAAACTAACTCAATACAGGTGCATAAAGTTTAAATACGTTTTGTAGGCAAAGAACGAGTTTACCCACTAGGGAAATAAAATATTACATTCTTTCCGTTATTGGTGGTAGTGGACCCAATACTTTGTTAAATACTTTAAGGGAGAGTAAAAAAAGAATTGATACCATTATGAAAGGAAAAATAAAAATAAGTGACATAATGACAAACAAAGAGAGTTACTTGATACACATCTTAATATCATAAATTTAAAAATTCACCATTTTATAATGTTGCTTTATCAAGAAAAAAAAATCTCAAGATCTTAATGAAAGATGGCGATTATCCATAAAGACAAGGTGTTTGTATAAAAAATGTTGTGTACAGAGATATGTTTCATTTACAGTTATTTTATGTTTTTACATTATTTACTTTAAACCTAAATACAGTATTTCCATATTCTGCTCAGTAGGTTTTTGTTTCATTCATGTCTAACTACATAATAAAACGACAGCATTATATAAAGGATTTATCTGTTTAAGACATATCCTTCTCATATATGTAATATTCCACTTAATAATGTTGCATTTGTGAAAAAGGATCTTTGGACTTTGGTTCATCTGGCAAAGCACACACTTGCAGATGGTTGAGGATTCAATTCCATCTGTATCTATTTTTTTAAACTTTTTTTTGAAGATGTTTCATTATTCAAGTAATTTTAGTACATGAAACATGTGTTTATCCCTTAGTACTGTTGAATACTAAGTCAGTTTTTGAGGAGTTGCTACACACTTTTTAAAACTTTCAGAAAGACTAACTTATATTTTTTACTGAATTGTCTTTACTGATAGTTTTCTTTGTAGCTAACACTTCAGATTTAGAAACAACAGATAATCCTCAATAGCTGTGGCCCTTGAAATTGTTTTAGGCAGGATTAGACTAAATTGATTTATGAAATCTTGGGCATGGTCAGATACATCAGTTGAAAGGGTTTGACCTCCCGAGTCCAAAACTGTAATTAGATCTTAAATTGGTCAAGATATGAGCTAAAAGTTTGTAGTTGAAAAACTTGGAGCCGTTCTGTGAGCCACTATGTTCAGTATGGAACAGATATTCACTTATGCATTTGCTAAGATTATAGAGATTTGTTGGAATGTGTGATTTTGGTCAGTTTTTGTAATATATGTAGTTGTGCATTATCTTCTCTAATCACAGTTGATTACTGCCTGATCCATCATAATATTATATATATGATTTTCTGTTCTTTTTGAGGACATCAGTATTCTCAACATTTCTGTTGATATAAACAACAGCTGTTGTTAATTTCTTGATAAAAATAAAAAGTCAGCAGTTTGGATATCTTCCAGAAACAAAATTTAAAATAGTTGTTAGTGGAATGAACCCTGCTTACTCCTTTATAAGCTGTTTGCAAGCTGCTTAAGTTAGATGAACTAATTATGGCATTTCTACTTACAGGATAACTTAGACCCTAATACTGGACATGTAGAAGAAAAATCCTTATTGATTAAACCATCTTCTGACACAGTACCAAAGTCCTCCCCAAAGGTGAGTAATCCTGTCCAATCCTATAATTTATCGTATGTTTCAACCTGTATGGTGGTTACTTTCATGGTATATTAACACAGTAATGTTTTCAACTATTCTTAGACTTGAATTAATAGAAGATATGTAATGTTTTGGGGGATGAATTTGTAGTGTTTGGTATTTCAGTACTTAAGGTGAATTACTTAAATTCATTTACCCAGTAATGTTTTTTTTTTCTTTAAAGCTGATTTGAATATTAATGACTTAAACATCTTTTATGATTTCTACATTCCTGTATTTATCAATACAACTCTTATAAAATAACAGCAGCTTTTAGCTATATTTCCTTAAGAGTATTTGACCTAATTTTTTTTTTAGAGTTGCATGTAAACTTTTGAATATTTTCTCCTGTACAACCTTGGGGTAATTAGAACCATGTATATTAGAATTGAGGATGTCTGAAACCAGGTTTTTCTCATTCCAGGCTAGCAGTGCTGACCAAGAGTTAAAGAAGGTTCAAGAGGAATGTAAAAGGTTAAAGGATGAGCTAGCCGAGCTTCAGCAGTTAAACAGCAAACTTAAGGTAAGTAGAAAGAGGTCAGGAGAGCAATCCTTGATCAAACAGTGATGGATTAATCAATTAAATATGATATAAAATAATAATTATCTAAATCACCAATGTAACTACTGTCATGACTGAAAAACAAGGCATCATTATTTAGTGGTCATGCAAGACTAGCCTTTAGAAAATCTGTTTTCAACCACAGCACCTAGTTTTTTCACATATTGTATCAAAATAGCTATTTTCCTGTGTACCATTGTTTTGGATTAATTAAGTTAACAGTGATATATGAGACACTGGATATCTAATATCTATGAAACTATACCTTAAACTCATGCATTGTTGAATGCTTAGAAAGAATGAGAGATTTATTCACTTATCAGTCATGTGTATACGTTTTTCCAGACAATTCAGTATTGTTTTACATGTTATGTTTACAACAGTATTGGAGCCTTAAATGTTGTATCTATAACTAGACAGTTTCTGAAAGACATTGTAACTAAACAAGGGAAATGATTAATCACAAATCATTTATTTAGTTAAAGTAAAATCCTGTTATTTTGGATATTCTCCAAGAAGTCTGAATTTAAAGTTAAGCAATGTAAAAATCAGAATAGCATTAATTTATTTTGTAAAATAAAACTAGTTTACAAAGTTTGAAAAACTATCAGGGAATGAATGACTAAGAATAAAACTAGAAAGTTTCTTTGTTTATGGTAAAGCTACTTAGACCATCTGCTATCAGCCCTAATTTTGAACTGCCAACCACAGGCAAGGCAACTGACCAGCAGCACTTACACTGCCAGCTCTTTACCAATGAATAACATGTTAACCTTTACATTATAACTCCCAATGGCCAAAAAGAGCAAGCACATGTAGCAGTGGGTTTAAATCCTGTGTCCTACAGATTGTGAGTCAAGTACTTTTATGCCAGACTAAAACTAGAACATTTTTTCATATAATATACTTCTGTTGTGTTAACGACACTGTTTACCTTCTTGCTAGCCACTGTATTTTTGAAATAACGGTATGATATGCGTTAACTTTTTGAAAGTTGGCTGTTACTAAATTTTTAGTATATTTTTTAACAAGAAATAAAAAGAGATTTGCACTATAATAATCTAGTATTAGAGATTAATTACTGTCGACTGTTTAGTCCTAAAGTAATGTAAATAAAAGTCAAAGTTAAAATAACATTATATATTCTGTAATATAAGTTTAAATTAATATAGATTTACCTTATAAACGTTGAAACCAAAATAACCCAGAGTCCAAGCTTAATTTTTATTGTGGTATTTAAATTCTCCACTGGGGGACAGTCTCAAATCATCGTAACTGGGTACTTTGCTCCTTGTTAGTGAACTCCTATGGTTTTTCAATGTATGCATCTGGAGATGTTTGGAGCAGCGAAGCATTTTTCATGTTGAAAACACTTGGTAATTTGAATCACTAGGTCTTGTTATATCTGGGTTTTAGAAACACTGTGCTTTTATTTATTTAATTTATTAATTTCCTGCATTTATAACTGCATAAATGTGATGACCCCTAATTTACAAAAATGTTTTTTTCCCTCAAATATTTTTTAATAGATAAAAAAGAAAAAAAAATGACAACTACTTCAAAAGCAAAGTCAGATATTTTAATGAAAATAGTTTAGAAATTATGTACAGATCTTTATTTTTTTTTTACTGTGTTAATTTGCATACACCTTTTAATTGCTGTATGAATCCAGATATTAATTTCTTAACTACAAGAATGAAAGACAAACACATGAAACACATTTTGTGTTAAAGTTCACTACAGTAGAGTTTGCTATTACAACATGGTAAATACAGTTATTATTGTTTGCTATTTCTGTAGGAAGAAGGACCAAGGCAGCGTATTGCTCGTGGGATAACAGAATCCTCGTCTGTTATTCAGAAACGTGATTCTTCACACAGTGACAAAGTACAGTCAACAAGCACCACTGTTCCTTCAGCAGGATCAGAGGAACTGCAACAGCCAACTTCCATGATGTTTCTCGTTGTCATTGTTGCTATTTTTATACTGGGGTTCTTAATGGGCAAGTTTTTACTGTAAAGTTGAAAGATCACGGTTCATTTCGGGCTACCTGACCTTCCATCATGCAGAGTCTGGAAGTTTAATGAATCTCTGAGGCTAACTGCCATTGTAATTCTGCTCTATTCTGTTCACTAGTAGAGTGGCTAATGGGGGATAAATATTACTGCTGAGATATGAAGTCAGTGGTGCTAACATACACTCTCATGGTGGATGAAATTTACAAGTTTGATAACTTATTAGACTTGAAAGCTTTAATTGCTATTAAGTATTGAAAGCTGTTATTGGTATATAAAAATATATGTATATTATAAAAAAACAATTGCTTATCTCCTTGACTCTGAAAGATAAGAATAGCAGGTATTCCTTGTCTAAAAGTAACTTAAAAGGGGTTTGGTTTGTCATAAACGTTCTGAGATATTTATCTTTTTTCATCCCTCAACAGCCGATTCTGTGACATACATTTAATTACTTGTGTTGTTAATTTAAGAGTTCAGGTTAAGTTGTCATATTATTTAACATGAACACAAAGTATGAGAAACTTTTCCCCTTTCATTAGGTATGGTAATTGCAGTATAAGCCTTAATACATTAATTTGTTGAGGGAAGAGGCTCAAAATTACTTTAAATATAATTAAAAAAAACTAAAAAGTAACACTGTTTTAGGCACCTTTAAAGCAAAAATTTTAAACAAAGTATAATACTTCCAGTACTATCAGGCTTATTGTATTTTTCAAACTCTTATTGTTTTCCCATGAAGAAAACCTAGTACCCAATAGAGAAGGTAATGTTAAAAACATAATAAGCACAATAATTTTGTCTTGTGACAAATATAATTTATTATAATCATTCATCACAAGCAAAGGGTATTAAACATCATACCAATTATGATACTTCTATTTGTAGTCAGCTTGGAGTGATAAACTCCGTAATATTGAAGGTTTAACATATAAAAAAATTACAAGATTACTTATTTTCAACAGGTTACTTTCATCACAAAATTATCTTATCTAGTTTGGTATGGGCAAGTTAATTTTTTTTTTCTTTTTCTGCAGCCAAAAATGTACAAATAATCTTTAAAAAGTTACTTATCTGGGAATAAATTGGCTGTCATAATCTAGATTGTTTATTAACCCATTCACTGTGGCTGGGACGTGTATTTCTCGGTGCAGTGGGAAATGTACTTTCCGGTCATAGTGAATAGGTTAATAGAATAAGATATCTTCATGTTTTGTTAAGAATTATGTAAAATCTGAATAAAAAGAATGGATTCACATCTTAAAGTTACTCTTGTATTTTTATTTGGTTATTTCATACATGCAATAGAAATATTATCTGTACTAAGTGAAGGTTTTGAGAAATGTTTATAATTGGAATTTATATCGAGATTTTCTCTTGCATTGTGAACATTTTAAACACAAGACTTCATAAGACTGTGTTAAAAGAAAAACAATTATATAAGAAGTGCAGCTATAGTCTTTAAGTTTGAGCTTTTTTTTTTTTTGCTAAATTGGGTACAGTTAGGCTAGAAGTGAGTGATCCCCCCCCCCCACCTCTAGTTTACAGAGCTTATATGCTGCTATAAATAGATTTTGAAGAACACTAAGCTAGTGCTTTGATTTATGTCTACATGGTAGATTAATGTGTTTGATCATTATAAGATTCTGGTTGACATATAGTTGAGAAAAGCTTATGATAAAAATATTGGGATATTGTTGACAGATACTAATGAATAAATTTTGCTTTTTTTATGTAAGTTTTTTAATCACTTTGACATCTTATTAAGCTACAGTGCGTAAATTTTAAACCTGGGTAATAATTATTATGTGTACGATATTGTTTTGAAGGTAATGTGTTTGTATATTATGGTAGATTTATCCTTGTAATTGCAAAACAAAATCTTCAAATTCCAAATCACATTTAACTAAAAACTCCTAGGAGTTGTACGTCTGTATACTCCAGCACTAAAATATTTGTGATCATAAAAAAAAAAAATAAAACTACATCATAAGTTGCAAAGCTTCATATATGAACTTGATTTTCATTGTTTAACTTTTACAGCAATTACCTAAATTTATGTGATGTACGAGACTATTTTAAATTTTCTTATCTGAAAAACAAGAACTTTTTTGTAATTGAAAATTCTAAGGGCTAAATCTTTTAAAGGCACTAGTCCAGGGTTATGTCCCTGTTGAAAAAGTTAGCCTTCTCTATTGATTTAATTAAAACTTAACATTTGTGTCCAGCCTCTCTAACCCTGTTGAAAGAAAATGTAAAATTAAATTCCTTTTATTTGTTCACTACAAATAACACCATCCATGTTATTAAAAATGGCTGATTAGCTGGTGACTGAATGAAACATTTATTATAGTGCTTCATTCCTCAAGTTAGGCTTCTCATATAATGGGAAGTTTTAATCATTTAATCACTAACAGTTCCATGGCTTAGATTTCATTAATGTTTATTTATCAAATTAACTTTAACTGGAGTAATTCGTGTTTTTATTCTACAGAAGCTATTGTGGCAAGTACATTCTAAAAAGTTGTCGATAGAATGTGAAATATCATGTCTTATTTGACTAATGTAATATCATTATTTATGTGGTTTTATTACATTAATAACGTAAACTTGCTTGTTCATTGAGTAATGTGCATGTACTAGAAAACGGTGTAGGCTTATTTGATTTTTATTTCAACATTACCTTCTGTGGACTTGGGTTTTGTGATAGTGGAATTGATAAACCTTACCTCAGTTCTGTACTGCTGCAGAAATAGATGTGACGAGTACATTTGAGTTAGTAAACTAAAGTGCGTGTACCTAAATTTTTCATAGGGTGTTTATACAATTTGATTAAGAAACTAAACAAGACAGAAGCAAACAACATATTAGCATATATTAAGAAAGAGTCAGTCATAGACAGAATACAAAGCCAAAACCAATTTGGCTAAGTAAAAGTTTTTGTAATTAACATTAAGATTTTTTTTCTTGCTAAAAAAAAAACATATATTTTCCAAGGCAATATTTACATAAATAATATGCAAAGTATTACAGTTAAACAAATATACAACTGATTTAGAATTTGTTAAAAATGCATATACTAGATACTTTATACTAAAGAGGTAAAAACAAAAAGATACTCTCATCCCAAGAATAACTTTTCCAGTAGTTTGCTTGAATTAAACCAGCTGACTTGCTGTAAGTGTATGTCTGTGTTAGATGAACTTGGGGATGACAATAAACCTTGATATCTTGATTCTCATTTTTTACACATGAATATATATAGAAACAGAAATATTTTGAAATTCCAACTTTAAGAAATGTGCTGATTCCACAGCACTGAAATGCATTGAATAGCCACAAAAAAAAAAAAGTTTTATATAAAATTCTTAAGATAGAAACCTCGTATACATTGATAATGAATAAACTGTTAATTTATAGAAATTTTGAAATTATACAGAACATCATAGTAGATTATAATTTTCTTTCAGATCTGCTAAACCAATAATGCCAGATTTTATTTTATTAATTTACAGAATAAAATTTATCTCAATAATAACAAATACTTAAAAAGTGAAAGGAGAATGTATAACAGCTGAAAGCTTTCTTAATGAAGTTGCCCTTTTAACTTTCATTTTAGGGGGGGGGGTCCATTTATATTACCCACTTTTTGTGGTATCTTGCCTTGGTTGTCTAGCCATTCTGTTGCTTCTCTGATTAATTGATGACAGTTCTATGAAAAGGACCTTCAATGGTTCATGTACAATTCTAGATCAAACCCTGAATATATATCTTAAGAGTAATTTAAATGTTCAGAAAACTACACAAATGTAGTTTTTACGATAACCGTAAAGTGAAAGTTATACTTGTAAATCACTTCTAATCGCACTAGGTAGATATTATAATCTGAAACAAGTATAAAATGAGCAAAAATTTATACAAGTTTAAAAATCTAATCTAATTCAATCCTCAGTTTTAAGAAGGAATGTTAAAATTTTAAATATTTAAAACCTATACTTATATAATCTAAAGAAATTCATATACACTATCTATGAACTTCAATTATAATTCCTAATACACCACAGTCTGGTTATTACAATACATGTTACCACAGTAATGCTTGATTGGATTTTATCAGTAATTAAAAAAAAGATGGGGTTACTCGGATAAGTTTTTACCCGTAATCATTTCAAACTAAATTTGCAAGTTTTCAAAATGATCACAGAGGACTGATCTGTTAATTGCATTTTATCTTCCAGAAACAGAAAGAGTGCAATATCAACATGATTTTTTCATCTGTTTTTTCACATTCTTTAGACTTGTTTGGACATGGCTCGTTAATGTTGCATAGTGGATATTGTCCATTTATTGCTGATTTTCAAGTAAAAATGTTTTTTTTTTTTTTACAACGAAAAACTTTGAAACTATATAATAAAAAGAAGTACTGGTTCTTGAACAAAAGGATGGCAAGGCTCGAGTTATTTTTCATACAAACAAAAGTGCAGATTGAGAATATTCTTGTTTAAAAAACAAAAAACCCAACTTGCTAGTAGTTTCCTTTTCTTTGCACTGACTTATGCTAATGAGATTTATCCATGCTAATCACCAAATCTTGTTGGGTGATATCCATTACATTGAAAAGGTTAACAATATATAACAGTCATAAAAGTACTATTTTGTTTCGAAGCTTATGTTTATCTATTATTACTAACGATCCTGAAATTCATGTTTTTTGTTTTACCATAAACAGTTCTTACTTATTTAAGAACATTCATTAGCCACTAAGTTAAAAGCATAATAAGTTGACATTTAGTAAATATTTAAAAAAATTCTTATAAAGAATAAAAAGTAGGCATTTGTTAACACCCAGTTCGTTAGCTTATGAGACATAATTTGGGGGACTACAGAAGGATGTCAGGGTTTCCAGTAATAAGGTTAGAACTAAAAAAGAATGTATTTTGAAAATTAAAATCTGTTAACCTTAATAAATAATGTTTGGCTGTAAAGAAGTTGAATTTAGGGGGTTGGCCAAACTATATTCCTCTTGGACAAAACAGTAGAAATGTTCATGTTCGGCAGCAAGTTTTGATGAGCCTTCCTTGGCCATCTCTATAAACATTACTCTTGGAAACTTTGTAGAAAAATAGCTTCAGAGAGATTATGAACCAGATCTCATACTGTGCAACATGTGAAGCCACTATTGCATGTGGAATTTTGGATGATGGGTATCGGTTTTACTATCTTATTGTCTAAAAACTAGTGTGAATTTGCCATATTGGTGGATAATTCAGATATTGCAAGGAGTTCAAATCCATATTCATAATTAGAAAATAAGTGGTGTACTGGAAAGCTGTTTTGGAATCAACCCATGAAACATGTTCCCTCACTTGCAGACTGGGTGTTAAAAACACAATTATGTTCAAGCTCAAACTACAAAATATACTTACAATTATGTTACACATTATTCTCTTCAATGGATCAGAATATAACACTAAGGTAAATTAAATACTTTGAGTTGTAAGTTTACAACAAATATTGTCCATTATATGGCCTCTTCATTACTTGCTACATCAGAGCTGCTGAAGATGTTATATGACAATAGCTTTTTCAATAGTTCACAAAGTTTATAACAGGGGTCACTTGAGAGAAGCTAAAACTATGGGAAAACATTTTGTGACTTGATAAGAAACAAAACTTTGGAATATATTTACACCTTAAGAAGAAATCTACATTAAATAATACTGACAAAATTTTGGGTTGCCAGTTTCCATAATTATTATTAAAAAATAAACAAGTGTTTAATGGGAATTTACTAAAATATTCAGCGTCACAGGAGTGCATAAACTTCAACTGTACATTGTAAAAATAAAATATATAAAGATGAAAGACATAGTAGGCAGTTCATCAAATTATACTTTTTTACCAAACTTATTTGCAATATTTTATCCATGATAAAAGTAATATGTCATCTCATTAAGATAATATAAATATCTGTAAAAAAAACGTTTTCTGCAACTATATGTTTAACAAAGAGATTTTATATAAAGTACACTTTATATTAATATAAGATACCCAACACATTGACTAGACTTTAATCTATAATTCAGTTTTCATAAACAGTAAATATTAATATCTGAGAAATAACTTACTTACAAGAGTTATTATTATTATAAGGCATAAAATAACTTGTATACTTAAGGTAATGAATGGCATGCCATGTTTTTCACTACTAAAATAATAACACAACAATGAAAAACCCTTACTAGAACCTAGGAAATGATTTTGCCACAGATTAATATGAAAATGTGACCTTACAGGGAGAGTTCTTATTAATTATTTAATAATACTAGCAGGTATACTCCCATTACTAATACAGTAAAATAGCTTTACAGCATTTGGTAACAGGATCCATTGATGGAAAAATTTACCGAAGGTATCTAATAATAAAATCTGCTTCTGTAGTTAAACAATATCGGTAACTATATATCACTCAGTAATACCTATCAGAAAATATTCTGGGAAAACGAGAAATACAGTCTCTTAATCATTGGTTTAGCATGGGGCCCCTAAGAACACTAACTACACTGTCATCTTGTTGAAATTACTGACTATCACTTAGTGTCATCTATAAAAATGGGTGTTATAACAAATAATGTAAAGTACCTTTGGGGACTATTTTCAGCTTGAATTCAGAAAGTATCATGCTTTTAAAAATCATAATGTAATACAAGAGTATTATTCAAAGGATAGAACAACGAGCAGGATTCAAATCATACTTCTGATTCCATCTTTCACCATATTCTTCTTCTATTTCTCCATCATCTATTTCATCCTCAACAACAGGTTCATATGCCACTGGCTGGTAGTGCAGAGAGCAGGCGTGGCAGGCAGGCCGAAGCCAGCTGTGGTACAAGTAGAAGGGCAGGTTGACGATACTGTGGTAGAAACGCTTGTGGTGAAACAACCCATAGTGAAGATGCTTGTGATGGGGAGGAAATGTTCTTGGAACAAGCCACTTTGGCTGGTGTTGTTCTCTTGGAGCATGATAGAGGAACATTTCCTTGGATACAGCCCAAGGATTGGGTTCAGGGGTCTGATAGGCCTACCAAAGAAACACTATGTTAAAGGAAATAGTTCATGATATCTGGTTCCTTTTTTTTACAAAATGTGCAGTAGAAGAAAATGTATTATTTGTTTATAATAAAAGCATCATGCAATATATACCTGAAGATCATCATAAACAGTATATTTCATTTGAATCAATAAATAAACCAAATGCCTCGTACTACCTTTTCCCGGAGTCGATTTAATAAGGCTTCCATTAGAGGAGCACCTCGAACTTCAGCAAAATCAATAGGCTCCATCCCATTCTGCATAGAAAAAATAAAAATACACAAGATGACAGAAGAAAAACACCATCAACTAAGATAAAAATGCAAAGAACACCTTCAAATAAGTTCAATATGGATGAGAATTTTCCTCTATTTGGTGGATTTCTAACTTTTCAATATTGCCCAAATGGAAAAATTTTACTGTTCCAATAACACATTAAAAGACGAAATTTTTTGTAAACCAAATGTCATATTTCACTCCCACATAACAATAACTAATTGAAATTAGTAGACAAGTTTTTTCCCCATCTTACAAAATCGT